GGTTAGTTATACAACTTCAGCTGTTGTGAGATTTTTTTCACCCCCTCACCAAAAGTCCACGCTGGAGCTCTGCCAACACTTTTCAGCTAAGATGGACCTAAATCTGAGAAATGAGGCCATATAGTATTCATCAAAACTAAATCAGAAACTTCTTCTTTTTTTTTTTTTAACACATGCATTTCTCCTTTTTTTTTTTTTTTTTTTTTTTTTTTTTTTTTTCCCCCAAAAGTCCATTTGTTCAGCTCCACAGTATGTGCTTGTTGTTCTTGAGAATGTGACGATTCGCCTGCATGAAGTGTATGAAGTCAAAAAGGACGATCAGAAATGATTCCAAACTGCATTCACATGTCGACACAACTCACAATCTGTCTAAAACGAAACACTGGTCAAGAATGTCGAGAAGACTGCATTTTTACCATCGCAAATACAAGTTTATAAAGAAATGAATAAATGATATATGGATATTTACTGGTTGTTCTGAATGTTTTCTTCGTTGTGGTGTTATTTGTAAATGATGAACCTTGTAATGTAGACTATCTGAACTCTTTGCTATTGTTTCGAGGTATTGTGTTGCTGACGTCGATTGAATGGCTCTCGCTCGACCTGCGGGTCGTCACTCGGCTTTAGCGGGAGGGGAGGGGGGGGAGACAAAGTGACAGTGCTGTGAAGCCGAGCATCACATTGTGCAGGCTGCAGGGGCGACCCATTGACCGGCCCGCACGCACTACTATGGAGCGGCTTTGGATCGCTGTGGCAACATGTCTGCTCACGTCCTGCTCTGTCAAAGGTAAGTGCTAGAACCAACACACATGAGGCTGTGTGCCTGTATTTACTGTCACATCAGCTTCTGAAATGGGGCCTATTTTAGATAGTTTATGGTGTGCATAATATTAGGATATGATAACAAAAAACGTATATAATTCAATAACATTACAAAAAAAACAATTATTTTGCTGTAAATGTTGATTATATAGAATAACACATGCTAAGAAGTGTCTTTTTGGGCCAATTGAAAAGTTTCAGATGGACACTTTAGTAATAATCCTCTTGAAGGCAACGACTGGTGGTGGGAGTATGAGGAGGGGATACGACACTACAGCAAGGAGGCTCTCAACAAGGTACCGTGTACACCCGGTTCAGCACTGAACAGTAAAATACTGTCGTTAAAAATTAAACTGCTTGTTTAAATGACAAACAATATTGAAATCAACTAAAGAACAGACTTTGACTAAAACGACTTGACTGAGAAATGTATTGAAAAGAGACAAAATTGGAAACTACAAAAACAATGAGTATGTAACAATGGATAACCTACTTTTAATATAAGAGGCAGGTTACATCATGCGCACAATGAGCAAAGCTATGTCAGACTAAAGGGTCAATGAGTGAAAAAGACAAGATATAAAGAGAGATTAACTGCCTCATGGGACACATTCCATCTGTACCTGAAAATAATGGATTTAACATGTTCAGTCCCGACAGTGATGAGGTGTCTCTCTCTCTCTTTTCTTTCTCAGGAGTTTCCAGAGAAAACTCGACCGGTGAGCTTCAAACATCCTGTGTTCCAGTGTCCAGACATGAGTCCTTCTCCCTCTGTCCCCTCCTCAGGTCTGTTAGGTAGCATCATCATCACACATCTCTGACCCGAGTGTTGGAACTGCAGAGTAATGTATTCTCTTTCTTCTCCGTCTCTCCTTTCACTCTTTGGTGCAGTTGAATTTGTGAAGGCGGCAGATATCAAAGTCATCGCTGCTTTGGGGGATTCACTGACAGTAGGTGTTGTTTTTTTATTCTTCAGTTGTAAAGGTAATATAGTATAAGTGATATAATATGCAATCAAGATGACTAAATGTTGTGGTGATAATAGTCCAGCCAGATTACTTCTCATTACCGTTCTCAGGTAGTTTTTTGGGATTTTTAAAAGCAAAAAAGTTCAGTTGTAAAATATCAGTTATCCATATTTACAAAGATACAAGACCTCCTCAAAATGCAGTAGATGATACCAGAAATGGAACGGTTGTCATTTCAATGAAAGAATCACCTCCACGCATAAGATTTCTTAATTTTTTATGGGGTCCTGATCATATTTTCCTCAGTTGTTGTGTCGTTCCTTTTCAGACGGCCATCGGCGCCAACGCCACCACTGTCCTCGGGATTCCTATTGAGTTTCGTCACGTGTCGTGGAGGTGACAGAGATCGTGTGTGAAATCTTTGATGGATCTCTTGCACGGATAATAACCTTGCTGTAGCTGGCACATGATATCATAAATATTCATATGCATACTTTCGTTATGTTTCAAAATGATGTCCAATCTTCAAAGTGTTTTGATGTAAGAGATGGAATTTGTTCATCAAGACTGTTTAAGATGATTGGATTCTTTTTTAATAAACATAATTGAACTTTGTACTAATTTGACATCTCTCCGTCTTGCAGCATCGGAGGCTATGGCTCATTTCAGCATGTCATTACTTTGGCAAGTAAGATGTTTTAATCACCGATGATATCTTGGATATCTCATTATTGTGTTGCATATGTTCCATATAAACGTCACTCAGCTGAAGAAAACAAAAAAAACACAGTACATCATCTTTTCACTGTGATTTGTAGACATCATCAAGCTGTTCAATCCCAACCTGCTTGGTGCTGCTCCCGGCAAGACGGTTCACGGGATGCAGTCCCATATCAGCGAAACGGGCTTCAACCTGGCTGTGACTGGACACAACACATTGTAATGACTCGACAGTGTGACACAAAGAGTGTTAAGTGTTATTAGTTAATCACGATGCTTCTAAAGACTTACGATGTTGTTCGGTCTTTCTAGCAACCTCCCCAGCCAGACGAGACATTTGATCGACACACTGAGAGGTTATGAGGTACAGATCTGGTTATTAAACTGAGATATCCTGCATTAAGATGCTGTACCTGAACCTGTTTTTATGCACCACATTTTGACTGTGACCTCTTTGTTGTCTCTTTCTTCAGGGTCTGAACTTTGAGGAAGACTGGAAGCTTTTGACCATTCTCATGGGCATGAATGACATCTGCGATTACTGCAAAGATAAGGTCTGACTTTTTTCTTTCTTTAAATGAGTTTAGTTCAATAAAAATCTGTTTTTTGCAGAACTACAAATATGTCACTAATCTCTGCAGAGTGTCCGTGTTCTCTCTAGGCTCTATTTTCAGTGGATAACTTCATTCACTATATCACCGTCTCCTTGGAAATGCTCATGAATGAGGTAAAGGGAAGGGAAACAAAGCGTATTTGGGTTTTAGTGAGGTTTCAGTGTGGTGCTGGAATTCACTGCAGCGGGGGCTGCTTGCTTTCTCCATGCTGTGCTTCAGGTTCCTCGTATGATCGTTAATATCGTTCAGGTACTTCCCATGCAGACGCTGAGGGAGGTGCAGAAGCCCACCCCGGGGTGCCTGCTCCAAAGGTGAGCCGCTCATTCTGAACATTAACGTTTATGTGAGCCTTAAAGTCCCCCCCCTCCGCTCAACAATGTGATTTGTTTATTGTTATGTGATGTTTCACCGTCGCTCTGCGGAGTTTGACACTAAGAGGCCATTTTCACATTCGTCCGCTGCTCCTTTTGCTCTTAACTCTGGTTTAGATCTTTCTGCTCGTGCCTGATAGAGCCAGTAGCCAGGTCTCCTGAGCTTCAAGAGCTGGTCCAAGTCAATCTGGACTTCCAGGTACAGTTTATAGAATGTGCTTATCATCCATAACGGGAAACATCTTCTGCATCTTCTAATCAAACATAATGTACAAAGTGGCACATGGGCCCAGAATAGTTCATGTTGCTTTCATGTTAATGAATGATTTGCATGATTGCTATAAGTTAATTTTACTCCCGTCCACAGAAAAGACTTGAGTCGCTGCTGTACAGCGATCGCTTCTTCAGGGACGACTTCGCCGTCGTTCTTCAGCCCTTTCTGAAACACGCTGACCCTCCCCGCCTCCCGGTAATCTATCCTCACTCCAGAGGCAATAACAATATCAGCGTGGCAGAGGTGTCTGCTCTCGGGAGATGAATCAGCGTGAAACATTGCACACTAACGATTGAATCATTAAGGTCCTGAGTGTGACAGCTTGTAGCTTTTGGCTTTGCTAACACCAGGCCGAAAATGTGAGAGAAGTCACGTTTCACCAACAAGACGCTCCATCAGTAAATCTACACCAGTGTGTGTTTGTTTCTTCTCCCTGAGCAGAATGGGAAGATCGATATGACCTTCTTCACTCACGACTGCTTCCACTTCACCATCAAGGGGCACGAGGAGCTGGCCAAGGGACTGTGGAACAACATGGTGAACACCGAGTCCCACTTGTATTAAATGGAACAAGAGGTTAAGGGTCAACAGTCAGCACCACTGAGTGCATGGTCAGACTATGCAGATGGTCACAAAATGATGCAGTATAATGAGTAATCTAATAGCAAGAAGCTGTAGATCACAAGCGTAGGAAAATTAAGGACACAAATTAATTCTTCCTCTTCTGTCTTCTGTCACAGTTTCAGCCTGAGGGGGGAAAGATGATTGTGAGCAGCTTCTCTGACCCCATCAGTCTCATCTGTCCACCCATGGTAAGGTCTCTATAGGACAATGTTGTCAACACACCAGAGCAACAGTTACCTGAGTCTTTAAGTTTCAGGAGTTTTTGGTAAAACCGTTAAACTAAACAAGAAGAAACTGACTGTCACTTTTGATAACAAACTACAGCTAGCTGCAAGGACTTTGTTGACTTTTACAATACTTTCATACCATTTGAGGCGATGAATTTCCCTTCAGAATTAAAACTTTTTCCAGAAGTTTGAAACCTTCTTAAGATAGATACTTTGTTCCATCACCCAATGATGTGTAAGTAAAGAACAGCATGATCATTGATATTCATTAAGATGCACAGCTCAAGTTGATTATAACATCCCATATTCTCCATGTCTCCTCTGAAGGAACACCCGTATATCTTCACCCGACCGATAGCAGCCAAGTCAGGTCAGCCTCCACGGCAGTCTGGCGCTCTGTCACAGGCAGCCGTCGTCCTGCTGCTCCTGCTTCTTGTGGGTTTGCCATGCCTCGGACTGATGTAGCTGTCACATGGATGGTCTGTTTTACAAACATGCCTCTGCTTCATGGGTTTCTGTTGAGGTGATACAGTGGATCTCCTGCAAAGGGAAGCCTGTGAGACACTGAAACTTAACATGTCTGTGGCCCCAAAAAGCAGGATACAGAAAGTGACTATGGTTTTAAGCTCTCGAACCCCGTAAATAATGTGACAGGGAATCCTGCAACCGGAATATTTCCTCTTTAGAGGCAGCTGGAGGTGCTTGTTGCTGAGAAGCTTTGTTTGAACGAAGCTATTTCTGCTCGTAGCAGAAAGTTTTCTATTTTGCTTTTAAATTTGACTTCTATTAATTATGTAAATTGCAGATTTCGTAAGAAGCCAAGTATGAAGTAACAATGTTGATACATTTATACACCCACACATAAGACATTAAACTCATCTGACTTTGCCCAAAACTGAAGTGAATGTCTCTTAAGTGTTTCTGAACCCTTTTCTTTATTTCAACTTTTCTGATATCAACACAGTGCTTTATGTTCAGTGTTGTCACAAATCCCATCAACCACAGCATTTAAATAGATTTACCTGGGAGGGTGACGGAGCTCAAATTCTCCCGTCCAGCAACATGCAGCGTGCATGCACAGTCACACAGAGGCCCGGAGCAGCTCAGTAGTAAAGATGTAAAGATGTAAAGGGATTTGTCAAATATAAATGTTGCCAGAAAGCTGTGACTTTTCAAACCAGAGACGGTTTAGTCACACGTCTGTTCCTCAGATCTCCAGGCCGCTGCTGGCCCACTTTCACTTCTCCGTCCTCCAGGAGCTGCATTATTATGCGCTGAGCACGAGAAGAGACAAAGTAACCCACCGCACTGAACAAACACTCTGAATATCGTAAAAAGGCTACTGGATGGTCTTGTTAAGAGTGTACGGTACATTATGTATTGACTCTGTTTAATTAGTACAATTACGAGGGCAGGTGGAGGCTATATTAAGCGCAGCTCAGGTTACTTTGACTTAGCTCTTGAAAGGAAATGAAAACCATTCGGTGTGTACTCAGCATGGGCGGGTTGAGTTAGAGCGGAATGGGATGGTTGTCCAGGTAAACATGCCTTACATAATGCTGGCAAAACCATTTGGACTTTGAATGGGAGAGTTTAACGTGTTTATTTAGTGAACACTTAACCTGGATGTAGAAACACTGCAGGATCTGAAATATACATTTCGCGTGTCCCCCGTTTTCCACCATTTCTCTTGGATGTTACTGCTGAATTTCAATGAGCCCTCGTAGCTGTTGGATGTCATAATGACCTTATTATTGCATTCAACGAAAGCCCCTCTTCATGTTTAAACAAAGCCGTCGCCGGTTTATGCGGGAGAAACATGGAGCTGACGCAAATGGGCCTTTATTGTGTCTCTGAAAGCACAATGAGGTCTTTGGGATCTGCAGTAGGAAATTTGAAACGGCAAACAGTCCAACCCACATCTCGGAAACCTCTTTGTCTCTCGTTTTTGGCTCGTGTACGTCTGAGCCCTTATGAGGTAGAAGAGAGCAAACAAATGTAAGGATGTTTCAAAGGTTGGTTGTATTCACAATGAGTTTGTTAATAGATACAGACACACGTTCATATGACGACACTATAAAACATAACTAAGTTCTGCATCCTGTGTTTTATTTCAGTTTAATTAAATTACTGTATGCCCTTTGGTGACACTTTATAACAGGTTCCAACCCACACTCTTTAGTAGATGATATAATAATGCAGAATCTTTCATACATTTATTTATATTTCCTCCAAATCAGGTGGAATCCGTCTCTGGATCCAGTTATACAGAAAAAGGGCATTTCAGACGCAAACATCTACATGTTGCTGTCTGACCCAGCGGTCAAAATAATCAATAGTAATGATAAGTCCCAATCTGATTCCTGACACAAAATCCACACCCATTGCTTTCTATTTCTCATTTTATTACAGTAATGTATGCTTGAACGTGTCTGTTCATTCTGCCCTGATTTGTCAATCGTCACCTGCCCGATGTTTTTGGTTTTACTGCACCATTCTCCCCCGTGCTGCACACTAATTAAAAGGATAAAATAAAAAATACTCAAATGCCATCCAATAGCTTCTAAATGCGACACAAAGTATTTTGGATCATGCAGCATTTTGATTTTAGCAAGTTGTACAAATAAATGAATGTAATAATTGTGAATCAACATTTAACATCCATTCGGTGTTAATGAATCCCATAAAATCACAGTGATTTGGTCATTTATTAATGGTGAGCGACAGGAATTCATGCCACATCCTACATTAATTCACGTGTTACTTAACCATGTTTTGTATTATGTAACGGCATCTGCAATTTTAACCTACACGTCTTTAATGGTCCAACAATGGATTGTCCAGAAGGAATCTATATAACCGCTTTGAAAATGCTCATGTCAGTGACCAAACATCTGGCAGTGCATTACATCACATATCAGATACATTTATTAAGTATTTATGAACTAATATTTATAGTTATTAGCAATATAATTATTAATGTATACTGTATATGTTATATTATGTTACACCGCTTAAATTCTGATCCCATCTAGTCTTTTATAAGAAAGGGTAAATGCTGCTTTGTCTTAGCTTGTGAAAAATAAAATCCATTCAAGCCACCTGATCAGAGTACAGCACAATAACAGCCATGACAGCAATCATTATTAATAAACCGTCACCCAGCAACACATTCAGTCAAGAAAGAGACATGATCAGCAAATACAGTGTGATGGTGGAGCTTTGTCCTGGACGGGAACACAACATAATGGAGACAAAGATGTGAAATCTGTGCATCTGTATTCATCTTTTGTCACTCAATCCCTGAATCTAGTGGTGCACATGAATACTTCTATAGTGTACTCTCAACCGATACACGCCCTGACAACCATCGAGGTGTAATCAGGTACGAAAGTAACAATTTGCCTCAGGATGATGTCACTTCCTCTCTCCACATCTTCCCATAAAAGCGGGCGCTGTTGCGGCTCGGTGTCGGTGGAGAGAGACCGGAGAGGACGGAGGCTGCCGGGTTCACCGATGCTGCTGCAAGAAATTTAGCTCTCCAGAAATACCGAAAGGCGACTAAGTTTAGTTCAGGATGCGTCCGTAAATCCACCGACTGTCTCCAAAAAGGGTGAAAATCACACCTTCTGATATAAGCTTCGCTATCTTTCTATTGCTGGAGAGCTTTATTGCGCGTCGTCTCCGAACATGATCGGGAGAGGACTCTTCGTTGTGACAGTACTGTCTAACTGCGGTAAGGAAACGCTCGTGGAAGTTGAGTGACACCATGTTATAGGTCGGGTTTGTTGAGAGAAACCTGCGTTAGAGATGTGACTGCCTGGGTTCAGCACCAAGGACAGCGGCGCACACGTCTTTAATTGCGGCGGAAGATTCACCTGCGCCTTTTGGCACATTTAGTCCCCTGATGAAGCGGCCGGTGTTTTGGTGACAGTGAGAATAACATGGCATATTCGGCGGTTAGGAACAACATTATCACGATAGGATGATGCGTCTTTTCTTGCTTTTCTTGCAGTTCTGTCATTGCCAGTGACTCCCAGTCAGCTGGAGAATGAGGACGTAAAGGTAAAGCTTTTGTCATTATTATCACCATTTGCACTACAGTTGTATTATTATTGTAAAAGTAGCAGTAGTATACAGTAACCTGCTATTATTTTATGTAAACCAAATGCTTCTTCATTACAGTGTGACTAGTCCTACTTGCAACACTGAAAAGGCAGGCAGTGATTATAAATAATATTCACTTGAGTACCTTCTCTACTGCAGGGCAATCTCAGTATATGACCTTGTTCAAATCAATTCTGAGAGCAATGGAGCCTTTGCCTTCAGGATTTGGTATTGCCAGATCCCTTTCACATATGTGGTGAGAGAGAGAGAGAGAGGAAGGGAGGGAGGGAGGGAGAGAGAGAGGCAGTTTCTAGAAAAGGGTTTGGAGAGATGAGAATGTGAAGGGGAGATGTGGACGGTGTGTGAAAATGGACTGAGTAACACTCAAAGATCTGGCTGTCGTAATGTTTTGAAAATAGATGAAAAAATGAGTGAAAAATCCTCCGTCATGTGGGAATGGCTTGACATTGAAAGCACAATGGGAGTTGAAGTGATTTTGATCTCTCATCTGAGAGTTTCATATCTTTTGAATTAGCGGGCGAGTTAGCACAAGAGCAGCATTCAAAGAGAAGCAGATGAATTTGAATTCTCTCAAGCTGTGTCGATTTATTTCCACATAGCCCTCACCAAGGACTTTTGTTTTACCAGAACGTCCTTAATTTACAGTAGCATCACCTGCGTACAGAATATCACTGACTCATCAAAGTGGACAATTCAAACAATTACATTATGACAACATTGTTGGATGTCATAGGCACAATCCGAGAAAATATTTTTGTGCACTTTGTGTGTCTGCAGGTGATGAAATGCATTGTGGAGGCGCTGGCAGATGTGCTGTCGAGGCCCCGCCCCTTGCCTGTCAGTGAGGAGTGTTTGGTCACACTGAAGACAGGTGAGTCAGTCTGTCATTTTTTATTGGAATACCTCAATTTCGATTGTGTTAACGTGATTTGGACTGTTAATGCTTTCGACAGAATATCTATTTCTTTTTTTTAAATGTAGGGGCAAGTATATGGACCAATGCCCCTAAATGGGCCAAAAATGTTTAATGTATTTCCGTTAAAGGAATAGTCTGGATGTTTTGAAGTAGGGTTGCATGAGGTACTTGTCCATAGTCAGTGTATTGCCTATAGGTGGTCAGCACGCCTCCAGGAGCAAAACAGTGTACTGCTGTCAGCAAAACATATTTTAGCCACCTTTCAAAAAAAAAAATCAATATTTGTTTGAGTGAATATATGTAGAATATTTTCACTGCTTTACCTTGCAGTCAGACAGCCCTCTCCAACCGGAAACGAAACTGCTATCTGTGCTCTAATCAAAGGCTCTAATGTATTAGTGATGATTAATTGATCAATACTAAAGATGCAATCATTTCCAAAATTCTGCAACCTACAAGGATTTAGTGAAGGCTTCTTCTTTATAGTTGTTTAATTAGATCTAAAAATGAGGTTGTTCAGCTTTACTTTGACCATATTATCATCATCATCATCATCATCATCATCATCATCATCATCATCATCATCATCATCATCGTGGAGACTAGGACCAAGACTGAAACAAATCAGGCATCGCTGGAGGAGCCAATACGTCTCCTTTTTTATCGAGCGCATGATGCTCACATCATAAAGTTAATAGGTTGATGCGATGGCTGCAGAGTAAAAAAAAAAACCTGCTCTGTTGTATGCAGCGAGGTCACGAGCACCGAGTAAAGAATATCCAGTTACACAACTGTCCTTGTTGAAAAAAAATAAAAAAAATCAATCGGAGCATTACTCACCAAGCGTTTGCTTCTGAGAGAGAGGAACTGTACACCACCAGAGGGATGTTAAAAGAGGAGCGGGAGAGAACAGAGGAGTCAAAGACAAGGAAAGGAAGAAAGCTTGCAGACTGATATCAGAGCACAGTACAGTAGCTGTCTCTGGTGTGCTTGCTGCGTACAGTATGCAGTGCCGTCTGTGGGTCAGCAGAAAGTCCAGTGCTCACTGCTGCTGCAATCCTCTGGGGGAGTCTCTGTGGGCCAAATGATTAATTGTGCTCTTGCTTTGAAAGCAGTAAATTTCAGGGCTATTAACTCTGACGAACCACTGAAGCAAATTTGAAGTCCTTTGAAAAAGTGAAGGGGTAAAGACATATACCTGTGTTTTACTCTCTGTTTCTGCCCATTGTCTGTTCTTTTCTTTCTTTCTTGAGACGTTTAACCACTAATTTGTTTCATTTTAACGTGTGTTTCCCAGATGACAGGCTGGTTTCTATCCTTCGCCATCATAACTTTCTGAAGGTGCTGCAGGACGTCGCTGTTGAAGGTGAGTCACGGATCACACACAGCCGATGTCTGTTTGGGTGCCGGGCGCGCTTGTTTACATGTGAAAGCTTCATTTTGATTGCAGGTAGTCAGGAGAGAGCTCAGCAGCAGAGAGACGCTGCTACGCCTGAACCAACCACACAAACTCCTCACGCTGCAGATGATGATGTCGCTGGTGAGATTCTCCAGAAGCTCAGATTCATACTTTTCTGCATCGTTAGGCTGCTTATTTCTTATCACAGTTCAACAACATTCAGTCGCTCTGCTGATGCTTTCTGTGGACAGGATCAGGACATACACGAGGTCCTTCCACCCGACAGGCTTTTTTAAAAGTTATGCCAGACACCCCGTAGAGCACAGAGTGGGCGAGTAGCAAAGCCAGAACAAGTTGAGTAATGATTAATAAGGTCCACCAACCCTGATCCTCTGTACGTTCTCTGACAGCTAGACTGATAAACTGATAAGATGGTATTCAAATAGTTAAGTGATACAATTAACACTGCAGAACATGTGTAAAACCATATGAAAAGATGAACATGAAGAATGCACTAAAAATAATGTTGTAATGCATTATTTTCTCGGTTAATCAATGAAATATTCAGTACAGCCCAAGAGGAGGTCTTCAAGTTTTTTATCATTTATATCTGAGAGGCTGGAACCATCAGATATTTGGCATTTGTGATTAAAAAGGATACTTAAAACAATCTAAATTAATTTAATAATCAGCTTATTGGTTCAGTTCTAATATAAGTACCTCCTTTCTGTTGAGTTTTAAACTTACAAAAGCTGAGAAATATGGATCTTGACATGTCCCTTTGAGGCTTTGGTGAGAAAGTTACAAATGCAGACACATGTAAGCATCACATGGTGCACAATTTTATTACTGTTGCGTAAAATCTGACATTATGACCCACTCCGTTCAGCAAAAACACACACACATTCAGTCACGACACAAAATGACCCCATCAATAAACCGTTGTGCTTATGTGTAAGCACCTTCTTTTAACGTCACAGGAAAATCAATGCTCTCGAGTAAATTAAATTCCTACCACTCCTGGTTTTCAGATCGATCCATGTTGGAAGCTTTAGGAGGCCCAGGTGAACGATCCATCCTGTCCCAGAAGAGAAGGACAGGAAATGCAGACGGAGAGGAAGAAAAGGATGACAGCCTGGGAGATGGAGAGTCACAAGACGACAACGACGTTGTTGAAGAGGTGAAGGAGAAGAGGGAGCACGACGAGAGTCCAGGAAGCCACGTGTCTGCGTCTGTGGATGAGTGGAGTGAGGGCAAGGCTGAAAAGAGGGAGGAAGAAGAAGAAGATGAAGATTATGAAGAGAAGAGAGTTCATTCAGAGGAGGAAAACATGATCAAGGATAAGAAAGGCAAGTAGATATCGTCTTTCTTTATTCATGTCTTTTTGATCGCAATTCATCTTAATTACAATTTTTAAAAACACAAAAAGGGAAAACAAAAATAGAAAGAAACTAATAACATTACAGCAAAACATGCATATTCAGAATTACAGCTTGATGTTGTAAAGTCAAATTTATTCTAATTCAAGAAATAAATGACATCCAAGCTAATTAAAATATGTGATCAAGTTGACCAAAGATATGGAGATTGCAGAGCTTTGCAGATGAGATCCCCTGCCGCCACAGGACTGGCTGATTGATGGAAGTGCTTCCATCTACATGATGAAATCAGCCCCCCTGACTGGGGAGCAGGGACAGCATGGCTGGCACACTGACAGCACACCGACAGAAGTGATTAAATGTCTCCATGTCCCAGAATTCAAATGAGCTGGTGTGCATGATGAGAGCTATCCTTGGATCAAGACTGCACTCAAGATTTAGCTTTTTTTTAACAAAGTCTTTTTCTCTGCGCTAAAATGGCAAAACTATGAAATACCTATTCTATAAAAGGGATACTTTGCCAAGTCATCTGAATGCTACAGTCATGCTGTTGATTCCCATAAAGCACAGCTAGCAGTACTGGGTGCAAAGCTGCCAGCTGGCAAGAAATATTTCATTACAAGAAGTGGAATCTTGCTAATGGTGGAGAGTTCCTGGCTTGTAGGTGCTTCCGTCAAAAAATAAATAAATTTTTCATTCTTCATTTTTTATGTTCCACATTCCCAGGTGCTGGATCTGGGGAAAAGAGAGATGCACCCAGAATGAAATCAAAAGAGAAGAAGTTTGTTGAAGAAGAAGATGAGGAGGAGAAAGACAAGAGATCTTTCTCACACAGCCCTAAACAAGAGGTGGAAGAGGAGGATGAAGGAGAGATGAAGAGAGAGAGTAAGGAGAGCCATAAGCGATGGAGCAAGAGGGGCAAGGCGTTGCAGATGAAGAAGAAAGTGGTCGAAAAGGAGGCGCAGCAGGAAGCGCCACATCACTCGAAAGAGGCCACAGAGGAAGAGAAGAAGAAAAGACACACGCAGAGGAGTCCAGAGGAGAAGGAGCTGCAGATGATCGCTCGGGGGGGACCGGAGGAGGAAGAGGGGAGCGCCAGCCCAAAGTCAGAGGTGAGCTGAGAGTAAAAAGTTAGTTTGCTTTCGTCCTGCAAGTTAGATGAGAAGATTGATACAAATTGTATCTGAGAGTAATATCAATCTTGTCACGTAGCTTTTGTCAAGAAAGCGAATTAAATGTACGAATTAAATGTAAAAGTGTAAGTTGTTAAACTAAATTCCTTTAAATAATGACATCGTGCATTATGTTATGTTCTACATAACGAGGCTAACTCTTACCTGTTGTACCGCTGAGCTCTCAGGCTCACTAGCTCAAGCCCCAAAAACTGAATATGTTTCTGTGTTTCTACCTTGAAATAATAATGAAGCAGAATCCTTCCTGCAGCCTGAATCCCTTAAAGATAGAAGATGTCCCTGCTGCTGCTTGGCAGCTTGCACAGAGGAAGCTATTGAGACTGTGGTAGCCTTAATGGCCACAAACTCTTACATGTTTGATGTAACCGTGAGGCTGGTCATGATGTCTTGCTAACAGCCAAAACATCAATGCATGGGAGGTGATTGTGTCCAGATATATTTAGCTTGTTCATATACTGTGTGTATATATATATATATATATATATATATATATATATATATATATGATTGTTTGCACTCTAAGTATTTCTTCCCCTCTTCTCCTCTCATTATATTTGCAGGAGCCAGAGATTGAAAGCCTGGCAGCCATTGAGTCAGAGCTCGAAAACGTTGCCCAGAAACTCCATGAGATGCGGCGAGGCTGAGAGAGAGATTGGTAAAAGGAAAAAAAAGAAATAAGTTGACACTGCAGCCTCCTCTGCCTCCTCCGCCTTACCAGCTGCCTGGTATCCACAGATAAAGCGTTTCGACGAGATATTATCTTTCGCTATTTTTCCAGAAGATGCCCACTGCTGCAGCCTCCCTTGTGACATCCTGTCCCTCACATAGATTAGCAAACAGTAGATGCACATTGCAGGTAGACATGCATCCTAAAAACAAACAAATGCACAAGTTCAGTTCATTCAAACTCATGCATATGATATTCAGAACACACAGTAAGGCCCCCGTAAAGGGAAACCTTCATGTCAGTGAAGGTTGACAGCTTTTTTTTCATTTTCTCAGAAAATCATCTTTCTCTTTCTGCAAATGTATCTCGCCTGCTTTTCAAAATATTTGAACTTATTGATTTATGTGAACGTTTGAGGCAGATCCAGGAACACACACACACACACACACACACACACACACACACACACACACACACACACACACACACACACCAACAAGGTGAGGTTTTACAGTAGTGGCATGCATACATGTACAAAGCTCTTGCTTCTTGCTTACTTATGGGGAAGCAGTAGAAGAAGACGTAGATGCTTACTTATTATAGATACAGTTGAACTCAAATCTAGCCAAGGAAATAAGTGAACATTTTTAGCAGATGTAATGAACTGTAATTCATTTATGTAAGAAAACCAATAAATTGAATAGTTTAACTGGAAATCTCTGTTTTGGTAGATCCTTTTAATGCCTCTAACAATGGAATGAATATTTGCATAAGACGATTAATGCAATAAACTCTGCGTAATAACTAATTTACACCTGTGTAGTTATCTTAATGGATTGTTTGACTGGTACAAGTGATGGGTTTTGAATCACTTTCATTACAATATATACATATAACTGGTTAAGATTACCAGAGTTATACTGTATTCTTTACTCACACAGCCCATAGTGAACCTGGCTTCTCACTGTAAAGAGAGACTGATTCACACTGTAGGTACGGTCTGCACTTGGTTGTGTTTGTGGGCGAAGAAGCTGAGAATATGAATCATCACTCTGACACACAAGCTGTCTGTACAGAATATTCAAGACAACAACATTTCAACCCTTAGTTTTGGCATGAGCATTACATTATTAATGTGTTGCTACTATCAGAAGAAAGAGCCACGTGTGGTGAATCATACAGTGCGGTATTCACAAAGCAAAATGTTGAAAGCTCTTGAACAAAAAATAGGCTATATATATATATATATATATACATATATGTATATATGTATATGTATATATATATATGTATATGTATATATATATATGTATATGTATATATGTATATGTATATATGTATATGTATAT